CCCCCCGGCCCATGCTCCCCCCCGGCCAGTGCTCCCTCCCGGCCCGTGCTCCCCCCAGCCCGTGCTCCCTCCCCACCTGCAGCTGACTCTCCCCAGGCCCCTGAGCAGTGTGTCCGCAGCTCCCCCTTCCAGGCTGGAAGGCGGCATCCATCCTCCCTTCTCCGTCTGTCTGGAGCTCGCCGCTCAGCCCAGGACTACACGGGATGCACCGTGTTCCTGGCTGAGAGGAGCGGACGCATAGTGTGTCTGCGTGTGTCCGCCTTGGCCCGGCATGGGCAGGGCTTTGTGCAGTCCGGGGCCTCCCCTGGAAACGGCCGACTTCCGGGGCCTTCGAGCAGAGCCTGGGGTCTTGGACCACTTCCGTTCCCCGTTCCTGAGCCTTCCCTGCTGATGGCCCTTCGTGGGAAGGCTGGGTTCAGGAGCGCACCCTGGCATTTCGCAAGTCGCCGCCTAGTGCTCAGGCCGGTTCCGGCCGGCCTGCGTGGCCATCATACACCGCGAGGGCTGTGGTCCTCCAGGTGACAACACCCACCTGACTCCTGCCCACACGTCAGTGTCCACCTGTCCCCCACAGCGCTGTGTCCACCTTCTGGATGGCCAACCCCAACAACAACCTCATCAACTGCGCAGCGGCAGGGTCCGAGGTGAGCAGAAGTCGGGCAGGGGCAGGGCTGGGTTTGCCCACAAGCACCGGGTGCTAGGCCAGGTCCAGCTGCTTAAGTAAACAGCCTGGGAACGAGGCGTCCTCTGATGCACTGTCCCATGACGACTCCGGCCCTTCGTAAGACCAGCGACCGTGCCTGGTGAGGGCTGAGCGCGTGGTGGTGGTTCACGGTGGAGTGAGATTATGTATTTGGTGCCAGGACGGTGCATCCGTTCTTGCGTCGGTGCTGTGGCATGGGCACCACTCCTGTCCGGCGAGGTCAGGGAGGAGAGTGTGGCTAGAACCAGCCCTCCTGCTGCTGGCCCTGCCCAGCTCCCTGGCCCTGCCCCACTGGTACCCTCGGGGCTGCAGCTTCCACATGCCTAGGACGGAGGGGGCTGCTCACAGAGCCCGTGAGAGCCCGTGGGGAGCTCAGCCCACAGGGGCTCGGACCCCACGGCACCCTGTCAGGTGAACCTGCAGATTCAGGTGTCTCAGACGCCTCTGTGGCCCCATGTGGAGGTGCATGTGGCGGTGGCCGCCAGGGCTGATTTGGATCACAGACCTAGATCCACCCCAGCCCGGTCACCATGCCACACCCCGGCTGGTGCTGAACCCTGGGGCTTCCCCTTGTGCCCTGCCTGACAGGAAACGGGATTTTGGTTCATTTTCCACCACGTTCCCACGGGCCCCTCCCAGGGGATGTACTCCCCCGGCTACTCAGAACACATTCCCCTGGGCACGTTCTACAACAACCGAGCACATTCCAACTACCGGGTAAGTCTGTCCAGATCGCAGATGTGTCTCCACACCAGCCTCCCCGCCGGCCTCCCCCCAGCCTCCCTGCCACTGGCCTCCCCGCTGGCCTCCCCCCAGCCTCCCTGCCACTGGCCTCCCCGCTGGCCTCCCAGACCCTTCCCCCCACCAGCCTCCCTCCAGCCAAGCCACCCTACTGGCCCCTCCTGCCGGCCTCCCCTCCAGCCTCCTCTGCCAGCCTCCTGCTGGCTGCCCTGCTGGGCTCCCTGTCACTGGCCTCCCTGCCGGCCTCCCCCCAGCCTCCCTGTCACTGGCCCCTCCTGCCGGCCTCCCCCCAGCCTCCCTGCCACTGGCCTCCCCCCAGCCTCCCAGCTGGGTCTGCAGGTAATTAACGCCAGAAACCCCACATTCCTAATGCTGATCCAGAAGTGGCGCGCCCAGGCCCAGGCCCTTCTCCAGGAGGCCCTCCTGAGGGCCTTGTTCTGGGGCCCCCTCCCGAGCACCCTTCCCCGGGAGACTCTGCCAAGGGCCCTGCTCCGGCCCTTGGGGCATTTGGCTGGAGCCCAAAGGGGCAGAGCCACCCTCCTGGGGTCCCCTCTCCCCACCAGACGTCCCCAGCGGAACCCTTGTTTTATCTTGCGTGCTCATGATAAGGAAAATCAGGACATGGTTCTAAGGACACGTCACTGCCTGGTGGCTTCTGTCCCGTCTTGACTCACTTCCTGGGACATGGACGATGTCTCTGTTGTACAGCTAAGTCACGGGCGGGAAATGAGAAACGCCTCCACACTGGGTGCTGGAGCGAAGGGAGACGGGGTGGAGAGACTTAGGTCTGTCAGGGTCTCCGGGGCCCGTGGGGCCCGTGGGGCGGAGAGGTCAGCTTCTCCAGCGCTGTTTCCCCATCTGTCGTGCGAGACTCCTTGCTCCGGATCTAGTCCCGTCCTGTACAACGAGACAGGTTCTTCCCCTCCCTCCGTGACTCTCTCTCTGTTGTGTCTGAGAGCAGGCTGTGTTTGCCGGCACGTGGTGAGGTGAGGTGGTGGGAGAGCGGTCATGGCTAATCTGTCCCTGGATCTCTCTCTCCCAGGCTGGCATGATCATAGACAACGGAGTCAAAACCACAGAGGCCTCGGCCAAGGACAAGCGGCCTTTCCTCTCCATCATTTCTGCTCGGTGAGGGCCCGTGGGAGGTTGAGCTTCCTCCACCCGGCCTCCACTTCCTCTTCAGTCAGTGTTCAGCAAGCACCTGTCTGCCTGTGCACTTGGCCAGTTTCTGGGACTACCTTGGTGAAAAAAAATCTCAGCAAAGCAAGGTCTGAATTAAGATTCAGACTCCAAATAGCCAAAAGGAGACAGGAACTCCGAGTGGTGTCTGGACCCCTCATCCAAGCCAGCTCTGGGCTGGGCTGTGGGGAGGGTGGCTGCTAGAGATGTCCTCTGATCAGACCCCCCTGTGGTGCTACAGGCAAGGCCTGCCCGGTGGCCTTGGGCACCCTCCTGCCCCTGGCAGGGCCAGCTGCTGTCCGTCGGGGTGCCCTGGGTGAGGGGCCCATGAGGCAGGGCTCGGGAGTCAGCGCAGAGCCCGCAGCTCTGTGCCTCCCTCTCGTGCTTCAGGTACAGCCCTCATCAGGACGCGGACCCCCTGAAGCCCCGGGTGCCAGCCATCATCAAGCACTTCACTGCCTACAAGAACCAGGACCACGGGGCCTGGCTGCGTGGCGGGGACGTGTGGCTGGACAGCTGCAGGTGGGCGTGGGTGGCCGCAAGGCCGCTCCTCAAGTGCAGGCCGCTGGCGTGGTCAGAAGCTTGCAGCAGGGCGGCCTTTGGAGGACCCCTTGAAGTGTCCCCCTGGGCTCCCCCCAGAGGTGGGGCAATTTTGGACACAACTACAATGGCCCAGAGAAAGAAAATTAGAGATGATGAAAACATGGGCGTGGCTTGTTCTAGATGTGTCACACAGGAGGTGCTAACAGAGATGGTGGCAGTCCCGAGTGTGTCACACAGGAGGTGCTAACAGAGATGGTGGCAGTCCCGAGTGTGTCACACAGGAGGTGCTAACAGAGATGGTGGCAGTCTCGAGTGTGTCACACAGGAGGTGCTAACAGAGATGGTGGCAGTCCCGAGTTTGGGCGGTGGGCATGAAGAGTGGCTAGTTCTAGAATCCCAGCAGTTGGTGGAGACAGAGGCTGTGGTCTTGGAAAGGCTCCCCCAGGGCCACAGTAGAGATGAGGGGCCAGGAGAGCTCTGAATGGCCCTCCATGGGAGGTCCAGCCCTGGGTTTGGGTTTGATGTGTAACGGATCCACAGGCCCTGGGGTATAGAAAGCAGGGTGGAGGAGATGGGGCTGGCAGGGACAGAAGAAGGGAGGGGTGAGTTAGTTCTGCCCCAGGACGAAGGACATGCAGGCAGCACAGACCTAAGCTCAAGTCCAGGTCTGCACCGTCCCTCCTCATCTGGACCCGAAAGGGCATAACAGAAAGAGGAGGGGACCACTACACACTCAGCACGCTTCTCCCTGCCCATCTCACGTCCAGTGTCCACCTGACTCCTAGGAAACTCGGGAATAGGTTGAGATGGTGGCAAGGGTGCTCACAGGGAAACTGGAACTGTGCCCACACTCCCGCGTGCTCAGGGTTGGCCCGAGAGTGGGAAGGCCCCGGTTCTCCTGATCCGGAGAGGGAGGCCCTGGGGCTGAGACCCCAGGCCCACTGAGGCCGGATGGGGTCACCCTCCCCCACGCCTCACTGGACGCGCAGTGAGAAGGTGCTCGCTGTCTGCTCCGCTCCCCAGGTTTGCTGACAACGGAATCGGTCTGACCCTGGCCAGGTAAGAGCTCGCGTCGCGTGCCCGCCCTCTGGGGAGCTTGTCCCAGAGCCTCTCACCCGACGCCTCCCCTCCGCAGCGGTGGGACCTTTCCCTACGATGACGGCTCCAAGCAGGAGATAAAGAACAGCCTGTTTGTTGGTGAGAGCGGCAATGTGGGCACAGAGATGAGGGACAACAGGATCTGGGGCCCAGGCGGCGTGGACCACAGTGGAAGGACCCTTCCTATCGGCCAGTAGGTTTGCACACCGGGGGAGCTGGCTTGGGTGGGGTGCAGCGGACAGACAGAAAGGAGTGGGTGGCTTCTTCCTGTTCTCCATGAAATCAGATATCCCTCCCCAAGAAATCTCTGGATGACTGAGCTGACAGTTGAAGGGTGAGACCCAGAGCAGGAGAGAGACCTGAAACCACAGCGTTAAATAAGAGGGGAGCTGGGGCTGGGAAGGTGGCTCAGGGTAGAGCACTTGCCTTGCAAGCATGAGGCCCTGGGTTCGATTCCTCAGCACCACATAAGCAAAAAGAAAAAAGCCAGAAGTGGTGCTGTGGCTCAAGTGGTAGAGCGCTAGCCTTGAGCTGAAGAGCTGAGGGACAGCGCCCAGGCCCAGAGTTCAGGCCCCACGACCAGACCCAAAAATAATAACGAGGGGAGCGGAGGAAGAGGGGCCTGGCCTCTCCTAGGAATGGACATCGCTTCTGCCTTCCTTCCACATGTCCTTCATCTGGAAGGCCAGCTCTGACTCAGAGGCCAGCTCTGACTCAGGCCAGCACGAGCATATGTCTGGGGCATGAGGGAAAAGCAAGCCTGGATGGATTATTGGTCAGGCCTGAGAAAAGCCACCAGAAAATCCAGCCAGGCCCTCGGGTCTCAGGCCCCGGGTTGCCCAGAAGTCTGAAGCAAATGGGAAAAGCACTTCTGAGCATCCTCCTCCTAGCCAGGACAGGGCCACGCTTCCTCTGCACACATGCTTCCTGATTCTTCCTCCCTCACGTCCTGTCCATGCCCTTCCTACCTCCTCCTCCCGATGCCAGGCCCTCTGGGCCCTGTGTTAGCCCACAGTCTTGCCTTCTTTGCAGGGCTTGCCAGCCCTTACAGCAATGCTCAGGAAGTTGCACTGTCTCCCTTTTCCTCTCTTTTCCAAGCAGCGTAAGCCCATCTGGGTCCCAATCTGATTAAATTGTTATAGCAACAAAAATGAAGATGGTGACTAACAGTGCAGCCCTCCCAAGGGACAGAATTGGCACTCTCCAGTGTTTACAGTATTGTACCCAATGACTCTTCACATGGTGGGAAAATCAGGAGAAATGTTTGAATACAGGAACTTCCAGAAACCTCAAGCTAGTAACCACATACTTATCCATCTATTCATCTATCCATGTATCCATCCATCCAACCATCCACCCATCCATCCATCCATCCAACCACCTATCCAACCACTCACCCACCCACCCACCCATCCATCCATCCACCCACCCACCCACCAACCTACCCACCTACCCACCCACCCATCCATCCATCCATCCATCCATCCATCCATCTAACCACCTATCCAACCACTCACCCACCCACCCATCCATCCATCCATCTACCCACCCACCCACCTACCCACCCACCCATCCATCCATCCATCCATCTAACCACCTATCTAACCACCTATACAACCACTCACCCACCCACCCACCCATCCATCCATCCATCCACCCACCCACCTACCCACCCAACCATCCATCCATCCATCTACCCACCCACCCACCTACCCACCCACCCATCCATCCATCCATCCACCCACCCACCTACCCACCCACCCATCCATCCATCCATCCATCCATCCGACCATCCAACCATCCATCCAACCATCCCTCCATCCTTCCAACCAGCAGTCTTTCACTGAACCTGTGCCAAATGAGCCTTCTTGGTGAATTAATGATGAGTCTGTACTGAGTTGCAGTGTGAGGTAGAGATCCGGGATTGCTTTACTCAAAAAGATTTTCCTAACACTGACCTCAAAGGCAACCAGCGCTTGCTTCCTTACCTGCACAGGGACTTTCCTATTAGAGGGATTCAGTTCTATGACGGCCCTGTCAACGTTCAGAACTGTACCTTCCGGAAGTTCGCGGCCCTGGAGGGCCGTCACACCAGCGCCCTGGCCTTCCGTCTGAACAACGCTTGGCAGAGCTGCCCGCACAACAATGTGACCCATGTTGTCTTTGAGGACGTCCCGGTGCGTGTTGGGCCCTGGCAGGCAAAGCCAGCAAAGCCAGACTCTGGGTGGTGATTCACAGGTTCCCCGGGGCCTGGAGTTCGCACTGTGGGGGTAGACTAGCCTCCTCCACATAGGCTGGGCCATGTCCCAGTTTGCTCTGCATCCAGACTGGAAAAGTACCGGCTAGGTCGCCCTGCAGGTCAAGTGTGGGTGAATACCCCCCCAGCACACACACCACAGGAACTTTCCTCTATCCTCAGGCTCCTGGTCTTGTGACCAGGCCACCTGAGTTGGCACAAATAGTCTTAACAATCCCAGAAATTCCCAAGGAGAGTCTTGCTGAAGACGCTGTGTTTAATCTCACCCAGGGGTAGAACGTAAGCGGGGGTCTCCTGGCAGGGCCCAGGCAGGGGAAGAGGAGCTGAGGGCAAGAAGTCCAGGATGAGGCTTCCTGTGAACCCGCACATCTGGTGCTGGTGCCTGCAGCTTGGGCCTCCCCCCTCCTCCCCCC